CCCCAAAACCCCAAAACCCCAAAACCCCAAAACCCCGATTTTCACTTCTGGATATGAAACAGTTACGAATTTAATTAATTGGCAATGAACAGATAGACGAAATCATGAAATTTCGGATGTAGAATGATAGAATTCGTCACTTTTGGCAAATATTTTCATCCAATTTATTCTTAGTTTGTAATATTGAGATTATAGAAGGAAATTTGTGGGTTGAGATAAAATTATGCTTATTTTGGAAGTAAAGAAATTCGCACCAAAACTCTTGACAAAATCAATGAAATTTTAGTTAAAATTTATTTAATTCATTTTTATAAAGTTTTAAGAGGATTTTTCCATCTCTGAGCTTGGTTCCTGGGATACTTTTTTATCTACTAAATCAAAGTAAGTTAAATTATTTGCAATTAAAGAATAAAATTTTGACAAATATTACCTTTATTTTCTTTCTTTCCTTTGTTATATCTTCACTGAGAATACAAAGCATATATTGCATGACCTCCAAAAGCAATTCCAAATATGACAAGAACAAAGACATAGGACATGACTGTATCCCATGGCAGCATTTCATAAAGATCTCTTGGTCCAAATATTGAATATGAAATATTGACTGGGAAATAAGTAAAAAGTGTAAAAATAACAACTGTTTGTCTCTGGTATAGCACCCATCCGTTGCTAAAGAACTCAAAGAGGATGACTATTAAAGGTAATATGTGATCTAGCATTCCAGATACTTCTCTCACAGAGAACTTGCTGTCATACTCATAGATAGCAATCCAGTACATGAGAGTGGTTACACTCTCCATGGCCAGGGTTAGGATCATAAAGATATGGTTATGCTTCAACAAGTTCACCTGAGTCTTATCCTCTAGATCAACCCCATTCTTATTGTTCTTGAAGGACACACATATTATCCATATTTCTGTATATATGGTTATGTACAAACTCCAAGATGTGAAATATAACTGATATCTGAAGAAAGTACTAGCTCCATCATTGGCAGTGTAGCCTAGTCTGTAGAAGAGGTTGATAAGTAAGAGTACAGTTAGAAAAATTCGAAAAGCCATTAGGGCTTTAAAGTTCATTACTGGTCTCTCATCAGGATTAATGTACTCCTTAATATTTGGCCCCCAATACCATGATGTAAATCTGTTCCATCAAGACTCCTTGACAGGCTGTGGTTCATCGGCAGCCTTGTTGTTTTCAAGATCAACATTTTCAAAATTTTCTTTACTCATTGTAGAATAATAATATTTAAACTCTTCTATATTTCGCACTTTAAATGGGGTTTTGGGGTTTTGGGGTTTTGGGGTTTTGGGGTTTTGGGGTTTTGGG